TTTCAATGATTACTTGTATTTATAATTTTTTCAATGATTACTTGTATTTATAATTTTTTTAATTAGTAAGGTGGTTATCTACTAATTGAGAGAGCTATATAGATGCAAAGGCCATCATGAACTCCTTGTATGATAGATTTAGCAGAAATGCACTTGATCTCTTCACCTTCACAAAATAGATTAAGTGTCTTAGTAAATATGGCATTAAAATACTCCATTGCACCAAGCTGCTAATATACACATGAGGTTTTCTAGGAAGCCAAGTACCTTCTGCCACCCAAGTAGTTTATTCATGTACAAGCAAAACAACCTTCGTCTTTTAATGCTATCACAATATATGGCCCTATTATGACCCATTTCCCCTTGAATATTCTTTAGTGATTCAGAGTCCCCCCTCTTCCTCCGCATACTAAATGTAGCCAGAAAATAAGACAATAGGCAGCAATGCAGTGCTTTTTAATGTTATTTACGCAATTTAAATCTTACTTTACTGTGTCTCACTTAATCCTCTTTTGCATGTCTCTGTTGGACAAGTTAAATGAAGTTGTTTGACAATAACTATTTAATGAATAGACGGTAACCCAGACTGCAACAATAGACCCCGTTTCTATTCAGTCTGGAGGGACTTTGGTTCCAGATCTCAGAGTTTGTGGAGTAATCCATTATTGCTAAATAAACGGTAAATATGCCTCTGATTTGTGCAGTCTGTTTTAAGTAACTCAGGCTGTAATTTGAATTTCCAAGTATTGAAATTAAGCAAAACTCAAAGGAACCTGAAGAAAAGAAACAGAGTTGGATCCAAAGGTGCTTTTCCACTGGCATAATGGCACTTTCTTTGGTAAAGAGTGTAGGGAGCAATTTTTGCCAACCCCCCCCCCACACACACACACTGAAAACCTACATTTGGCCCCCTATATTATTTATGAAGGTAACCAGATCCCCAGCAAGAGAATCTGAGATGCTCCTCCACATGCCCTCCAAATTTGAGTGCATGTAGTAACTTGGACCCCATAAATCCAATCCTCACCAAACCTGGAGGGCAGGTAGAGGAGAGTTAGTCAGAGATTCCCTTGCAAGTTTGGTGTCTCTAGCATGCTGGGGCCCATTCTACCACCTAACAAACCACATGAACCAAACTAGTTTGTGAGACAGCTAAAAGTTCATGATATGTGGTTTGCAGGCAGGGCATGCCATGAACCACGCACTGAACTGCATTTTTCTGGTTCATGCCCATCCCCAGCTGGTGTACAAACAGTCAGAGGATAGCTAAAATGTCTAAATGTGAGGGAAAATCTCTGGAATAGCACAGATTGCTTAAACACAAATGAGTATTTTCCCTGTGCATAAAATATGTAACATTTGGTAAAGGGAGGCCATATAAGCCTTATATTTGGCTGAGAGCATATATTTATTACTCTTAAAAACATAAGAGATGCCAATGTTGGTTCAGGCCAAAGGCCCATCCAGTCCAACACTGTCACACAGTGGCCAAAAATACCAGGTGCCATCAGGAGGTCCACCAGTGGCTAAAGCTAAAGGGTAATGTAATTGTCCTGTGCTGGAATATAAGAAGCTCCACCCTAAGCAAATGTATCCCTGAATATGGCCTCTTGCAAATCTCATTACCCTCAATGGGGGTTATACCAGCAGATCGACAGAGGGAAGCGTTTGTTGCTCGCTCCTCTGTCCCAGGACTTTCTAAGACTATTCCATAGTCTCAAACCATTTCCAGCAGTGAAGGTTTGGCAGGGGGCTTTTCTGGATACTGGTCTAGTGGGGTGGCGACCCCCGGGCTGAGTGCCGGCTGCCCTGAAGCAAGAAAGTCTTTAAAACCTGATTTTAACATTCCAGAGTAGTGATGGGCATGAACCAGGAAAATGGAGGTTTATCCCGGTTCGTGAGACCCCACGAACCTTCCCGTTTACTGAATTTGTTCATTTCATGAGGTTTGTGATGTAGTAGAATGGCCCCCCTGTGGGCTAGAGACGCCAAACTTGCAGCGAGTCTCCAGCTGACTCTCCTATCAAAGGGAGATTCCCTCTTTTCTGTTCTGACCCTGTGACCCTCGACTTCTGGGCCTCCTGGGGTGCCCCTTTTTGGCCTGGCCTCATCTGCTGGCCTCCCTCTGAGTGCCCCATGGGCCAGTTTCCTGGAATTCTCACCACTTATATCAAAAGGAGAATCACCCCTCCTTTTCCTTCTGCCCCTGAGACTCTTGACTTTTGGGCCTCCTGGCGCCCTCCTTTTTGGCCTGGCTTCGTCTGCTGGCCTCCCTCTGACTGCCCCATGGGCCAGTTTCCCAGAACTCCTGCTGCTTTTATCGAAAGGAGAACTCTCCCTTTATCCTTCCAACCCTGCAACCCTCGACTTCCAGGCCTTCTGGGGTCCCCCTTTTTGGCCTGGCTTCATCTGCTGGCCTCCATCTGACTACCCAGCAGGCTGGTTTCCCAAAGTCCCTGCCACTGTTCCAAAAAGATCACCTTCCGCTTTCTCCCTCAAGCCTTAGATGTCTGCCTCCTCTCTCCTGCACTGCCAGCATGCACCCCTCCTCTGCCTCTCCCTCATCTCCTTCCACCCCCAAACTCAGCTCCTTCATGCTTCCTCCTCCCCATGTCCCACAAGGGCCACTTTTGTTTGGTGTTTGGAGGGCCACTGTTGCTGTTTCTAGGGCTGCAAAAGGGCTGCAGAAGTCCATCCCCCTGTTGCTTTGACAATTATCAGTGAACCACCAACACAAATCCGCATGAATCTCTATAAAAACCATGGAGGTTCATGGGAGATTCATTGCAGGTGTGATTGCATGACAGCTCACAAACCACGAAGTGGGTGATATTCTTGATGAAATTAGGTTTGTGACATGGTTCATGCCCATCTCTATTCCAGAGTTCAAATTATTCTAGAGTGTTAACATCATATTTTTTTACCTTGTTCGGGTAACAGAGCAAAATGGTTTTACAGTGCCTGGATCTGGGTAAACATATATTTAAATCCCATCATTATTTTCTTCAAAACAGAAATTTCTTCCTTGTGGAAAGGCCCAAGCACTTATATTTTAATTGACCAAAATCTAATTTGGCAAGATATTTTTTAAAGCATTAGTAAAATTTAGTCTAACAATCTTCTTACTGTAATCCTGCATGAAAGCAATCATATTTCTGTACTTTTCCTATGACAAATTTATTTTTCCTATAAGCTTTCATTGGCTGGCGCAGCTGGCATAGGTTTACTGACAATCAGCCAGGAGATCTGAGCTTAAGGAAAACTCACAGCTCTTTCAAATGCTGGCATAGAGTAAGGTAAACCTGTCCCTGGGCATTAGCGCTAACACATACTGGCATTGCTGGCACTCACATACTGGTACATGCAGTCTTGGGAATAAGAAAAGGACATAAGTTGTGTAAAACAGAGATGGACTGCTTAAACATTTACTAGAGGGTGTGATAACTGCTACCAAGTCTCATCTTCAAGAGATAAAATCAGGTGCTCTGCAAATTTTGAAGACACAGCTAACCATTCATATTTCTAAGTTGAAGACAGATAGCAAGTTAACATTCAAAGAGAGAGCAAGCACATGGGTGGTATTTCATAGTATCATATAATCAGAATCATAGAGTTGGAAGGGACCTCCAGGGTCATCTAGTCCAACCCCCCGCACAAGGCAGGAAATTCACAAATACCTCCCCCCCCACACCCGCAGTGACCACTGTTCCATTCCCCTCAAATGGCGTGGCCCCGCCCCCAGCGTGTGATGTCACTTCCGGGTGATGCGCGCGGGGTGGGGTTCCCCCGGGCCCGATTCCGCATGGGGCGGAAGTCGGGTCTTGAAAGCGGGGGGAAATCCGCCCCCCAGGGGGATTTGGGAACCCTACCAGAAGATGACAAAAAACCTCTAGGATCCCTGGCCAAATCGGCCTGGAGAAAAATTGCTTCCTGATCCCAAAGTGGCAATCAGCTTTTCCTTGGGTATGTAAGAAAGGGCCACAAGAACTAAACACTGAGGCAACCCTTCCTACCCTCCATGATCTGCCTAAGTTCACAAAATCAGCATTGCTGTCAGATGGCCATCTAGCCTCTGTTTGAAAAACCTCCAAAGAAGGAGAGCCCACCACCTCCCAAGGAAGCCTGTTCCAATGAGGAACCACTCTATTTTATGTGTTTCTATGTAAAAATATGTGACTGTTCAACATTTGTAATGTCAGATGCTTCCATCAGTTGGACTCCTCCTTTTGAATCATAGACTGATCCAATGAAAAAATCAGTTAAACAAGGCTTTATAAGTGCTGCCTTCTGTAGCTGTAATACAATGGAAATAATTATTTTGGTGATATACGATATTGTAGTTATATAGTAACACCGCTTTCCTCAGAACTTGTTATTTGTGAAAAAGTACTACTTGTCTTTTTGAAAGAGACATACACATATGACAATTAAGACATTCATATATATAATAAGATAAAGCTGGGATTTATACCTTGGGGGAAATACTAGGGATGGTTAAAGAAGAATGAACGAGCTCAATAAATATTGTTTTGTGATTTTTATATGGGATACATTCGTGGCCCCAAAGATTTCAGCAATACATGCTTTTAATACCAGTTTTACTATACTAGGACCTCAGAAAGGAAACACTGAGGTACGGAAAGACAATCATATCAATAAGTTCCGTGATACAATGGAAAAGAAAAATTCCCAACCAAGAAAAAGTGAGAACTGATCAAACAATGCTTATAAGTCCAAATTGTAATTAGTGAACTTAAAAACGAAAATCCATTAGGATAGAAATCTTACCAAGTTTTCAACTACTGGTAGGTCAAAGATGGGTACAACTCCCCCCCCCCCATTACCTCTAGAATTAATCAAATGTATGGACAAAAATCCCGGTCCAAAAAGAATCTGAAGACAATGTATGGGCTAAGTTATGGTCTACACCTTTCAAAACTACATCTGTAACTATGAGACCAGCCTTCTATTATACTAGATGGCATTTAACTGGATAAAATCCAACATATATATACACACTGTCCTAAAATATGCTGGAGAAAATAGAGGAGAAACCATTCTTATCTACATCATTGGGGATCTTGTCTATATGGAGGTTTTTGGGTAGGATAGTCTCACTGAAAAAATAAAGTAGAACAAAGTTTGAGTCCAGTGGCACCTTTAAGACCAACAAACTTTTATTCTAGGTATAAGCTTCCGTGTGCACGAACACTTCTTCAGATATATATATGTCTCTTTCTGAACCTGTCCTTCGAATATGGGTTCAAAAATCTGTGCAGTGGGACACAGATATTATGAGTACATGTTTGGCATTGTGGGTTGCCATAAATACTGGGTGTGATATGATTTTTTGGAAAAGTGCATAAATTAAAACTGCACAAAATTCCTCTTTTTATTACTTTTTGCTAAAAGTACCCTGAGAGACTGAGTGTGCTTTCTCTCTTATAAGTGGTCTTTCAGTCTTCGTAAAAATTACATAAAACTTTGTAAGATATAAATAATACATTGTACGTTAGCCGGTTCTTGCTACATTTTTTTTTAAAATATGCTTTATTTGCTCCCCTAAAAAGGGGAGATATTTCGCTTAAAGAGAGAAATAGGGTAGGGTGTATAGGGGGACAAAGAAAAAGAGTGAGTGGTGTTAATAATATGTTAATTTGTTAAATTTTTTATAGTCAGATCAGAGAGTCCATAATTTCTTCCATCATCGAAGATTCTTCTTTTCTTCTAGTATTGTTAAAGTTAGTATATTAGTAATGTCCTTCTGGTATCAGTTTTCTCTTCCAAAGTAAAAAGTTTTTAGGCTTTAATTCTTCCCACTTTTCCCTCTCAGGTTATATTTTGAACTCGTGGCTCCTCCTTCTTCCTCGTCTTTCACCTCTCCCTCTGAGCTGCTGTCTTCTACGCTTAATGTCGACATCCATTTTGCCAGTTCTGCACTTTCTTCTTTACCGGCATGCTTTTTCAGAAAGTCTTGAGCTTTGAAGATGGAGTCAATTCTTTCTCTTTTATCCTTAAACTTGAAAACCAGTCCTTCGGGCACCAACCATTTATAGGTCGTTTGATGTTTTTGGAGGAAGATGGTCAATCCTTTATATTCCTTTCTCTTCATTCTGATTTCAAATGGAACATCTTTCAAGATCTTGATCTGTTGATCACCAATTTTCAGGGGTGATGCTGATGTGGACTTTAAAATCTGGTCCCTGAGACGTTGTTTTGAAAATTTCACCACCACTTCTGCTGGCAACTTATTTTTCCTTGTAAAGTTGGAATAGGCCCGATAGACCAAATCCATCTCTTCTTTTATTTTTTCCGCTTCGTTGCCAATCAGTGGTGCCAGTGCACTTGCCAAAATGTCTCTAAGGTCTTGCTACATTTGACTGACATCCTAAAATTCTGAATCTCTTGCTATAGTGTTGCAGCTTATTTTGTGACTGAGGGAAGTAATTGTCTTTTGTTAAGCTATACAGAATAATGGGGAAATAGGAAATAATATGTGAAGTGTCCGTAAGAACAAGCAGCACCTATTTAAAATACAATAAATTATGCAGATTAAACTGCCTAGACACAATTCAGACAGAATGAAACACAATTTAAATTCCCTAAGCACAAATCTCCCACTGAAACCAATAAGACTTTAAATATAATTAACTTTGGCTGGATCATGTTCATTCATAACTGACTTTACTGGGTGCATGGGGGCTCAAATGGAGCAAAAAATTTAGAAGTGAAGCTGCTTCCGACAATTTTTGATAAGTAGGAAATGACAAGTTGTTGTGGTCAGAAGGTTTGTTTATTGAAGGGAAATGGGTGGGACGATTTTGTGTGGTCCTCTTCCTATTTCTATTGGAGAGATGCAGTACATATTCCACCAGAGGCTTCAATTGACTTCCAAGTCTGACAAAATGTGAGTTTAATGCATGTACGGAGAAACTGTTTATTATTTAAGTCTGAAAACAAGCATAGTATTCAGACTAAGAACCCTGCACTTGCCAAAGTTTACAGAGCATAACCTTACTATGTTTGTAGATTAGTCTAAACATTTTCTCTTCACACTATTATAGAGTTTGGGGGGGAATAAGTTTTAAAAATATAATATTAAAATCTTGAACCCCTTCCCTTCGCTAACTGATGGGAATATCAAAGTTATTGTATATGTGTAATCTGAAGACCCTAGCCCTGTACGCATATTACAATGAGCATGTGTGTAATCTGTATACAGTATACGTGTTATTTTTCTTTGCATTTGCACTCTAATCCTTAGATTACATTCAGCATGTGCATATGATTTGAACCATGTATTTATCCAGGAACTGGGTCCCCGTTTCATTTTGAACTTATAAATGCCTTCACTCTGTCTTATGAGCATGTGTACTTGCAGGGTGTACTCAGGGTAATGTGATCAGGGTAATATGTGTACAGGGCTTTTCAATTTATTATAAATGAGATTATTAACCTCTATCTACACACACAGGGGGAAGTCTCTACTATAATAAAGCCAGCTAGCATTCCAGTCTGGAGCAAGTCAAGCACCATGTACAGCCGTTCCTTCTTCCCGCACCTAAGAATCAGAAGGGGCAAAAGCAATGAGCTTGATATAACTTGGAGCTATCTACATGGTGCCTGCTAGTTAAGGAGCGAACAGAAGAATTTGAAATACGGGTAGAATTTACCGTACATGCAAACATCTACTGAGATAAAAGAGCTAAATAATGAAAAAGTAGTAAATTTGATACAGTGATAACTTGGATCCGACAGTTCTTTAGGGAAGAAGAATGTGTTATAAATTAAAAGATCATTCCTTCTAGATGAATGTGAGACTATTAGAATACAGCACATAGACCTAATAAATTGCCTAAGGTAGACATTTAGGAGAGCTTGGGAAAAACTCATCCTTGGTCAACAAATGACTATTAAAGCTGATTAGAACTTCTATGACTGTGCATGAGAGAAGGCCAACGCGGAATCCATCTGAAGATACAGAAATCTGTCTGAAAACTATCTATTGTTATTCTGCCTCTCATTGTGGTGGGAGGGCACAAACAGATTTGCATACTGTTTTATAAATACGTTTATAAATAAAACGGCTCAGTGTTACTGAAAGCATGGGCTACTGCCATTACTGAAATTGAGTAATGGCGTTAGGAAGCAAGTCCTTGATGGTTACATTCTGTGTGCGCATGCACATGGCAAGCATGAGATAAGGGCCAAAGATGTCATAGAAGCCAGCAGGTTTGTCAGCTGTGGGGAGGAAAATCCAGTGAGAATATAATGTTATGTTACACCATTAGAAGAGAAGAAGAAGAAGAAGAGATTGGATTTACACCCCGCCCTTCACTTGGAGTCTCAGAGCGGCTTACAAACTCCTTTCCCTTCCCCTCCCCACAACAGACACCCTGTGAGGTTGGTGGGGCTGAGAGAACTCTGACACAAACTGCTCTTTTTCAAGGACAGCTGTTCCAGAGCTTGTGACTGACCCAAGGTCACATCAGCAGGTGCAAGTGGAGGAGTGGGGAATCAAACCCGGTTCTCCCAGATTAGAGTCCGCACACTTAACCACTACACCAAACTGATCATTAGGCTGCACCAGGATATTAAAATCAGACTTCCAAAGTCTGTGTACTTTGTCAGTTCTGTGCTATGACATATAACGGAGGAATATTGTGAAATTATGTTTAATAATGGCTTAACGATTTCTTATCCAGAACATCACATCTTACCAAAAGCATCACATCTTGGGGGACAAAGAAGCCTCAGTATGAAAAGTAATAACAAATGTATACATTTTTTTCTAAAGCACCCAGTTATATGCTTTGGGGGGACAAATTCTATGTTCAGCTAACTGTGTTTACTAGGGTGTTAAAAATAAGTATTCCACACTAGCATTGGACCACCCAATGTGAATATCTGGAAGCTTCTAACAGCCCATCCTTGAATGCTAAACATACATCTTTGCTTTTACAAACACATAATAATTACCTCATACTTGAACTTAAACATACTGTAAGGGTAGAAGATAAATGTAGCTGCTGGAGGTATTGAACCAACATTCAAACCATTAAAGCTACTTTTCTTCACCCCGATAAGAAAATGTGTTAACAGTATGAGCCACCACTGCCTGCTTTTATGAGCAACAGGCATTACCATGCTATGCCATAGTCTCTTAAGAGGAAAATTTAAACAAATTTCAAATTGTACCTCCCCAGACTGATTTGCAAAGCACATTCCCCATACTGAAACAATTTTTTTTTTAACCTAGACTTTTAGGGAGTGGGACCCACTATTGGCTTTTTGATCTTCAAGACCCATTGTGTCTGACCAATATATGCAGTTTTGGTTTACAGGTACAGTGACTTCTCTGTAGCAGGGTTTTAAAAAAAAAACTAATGGAGAGAAACAGGAACAAATGAGAGGTATCTCTTACGTGCAGACCACTGTCATATCATGACATTTGAGTGTCACCGGCTCAAGGTTTTATGATAAAGCCTTATCCTGTTTCCAGAAGACTATTTACATCCAGATATTTTTGTGGTTAAATTTCAAAGAAGTGGCTCTTTTAGCCAGAGCTGACTTGAAACTGTCATAGAAACTGATCAGTCTCTTCTTTCTAAAAACTTTGGTCATTTAATTAGTAGAAGTCAATACATGGAAGGAAACTGATCATACAAATCTCTTCCAACAGTGCAGTCCTAAACACTCCTTTAAGCCCACGGACTTCAGTGGATTTAGAAAGAAGAAGAGAAGAAGAGATTGGATTTATACCCTGCCCTTCACTACCCAAAGGTGTCTCAGAGTGGCTTACAAACTCCTTTCCCTTCCCTTCCCCACAACAGACACCCTGTGAGCAATGTTCCCTCTAAGCCGTGGAGTCTTGTGAGCAAAAATTCTGCTTTGTGAGCTACTGGCATAAAAGTTGTGAGCGAGCGATTTGGCTACTGCATAAATCAGTTTGCTCTGGAGCCATCCTCCCTGAGCTGTGACAAAAATCTGTGAGCCGGAGGCGAAAAAACTGTGAGCTAACTCACACTAACTCAGCTTAGAGGGAACACTGCCTGTGAGGTAGGTGGGGCTGAGAGAGCTCTTGACAGAAACTGCTCTTTTTCAAGGACAGCTCTTATCAGAACTACGACTTGCCCAAGGTCGTCCAGCCAGGTGCAAGTGGAGGAGTGGGGAATCAAACCCAGTTCTCCCAGATTAGAGTCCGTGCACTTAACCACTACACCAAACTAACATGGTTTAGAATTGCATTGCAGATCATCAAAGGAACTGTACGATGCTATTGTGCTTTTTTCCTCCAAACTCACCTCATCAGATTTGTCTGTTTCCTCACATAGACTTATTTCTTTAATACTTTCATTTCCTGTAGAGAATTTCATCTTGATAAATGATAACAACAAACAACATTTGAATTAAGAGAAAGTACTGCACAGTCATGTCCTATCTATGCTATTTATTCAAAGTGCTTCAAAGTTGATAGTGATTAAGTATTGGTAGCTGTTAACTTTTCCAACTGGTTGACAGTCCTTCAATGAATGCGTGGGAGTGAGAGCGTATAATGGATACCCAATCAAATTAATTTACTCCTTATCATAGTTTTTCTATCAGGATTGTAACATTTAACTAGCATCATATCACATTTTGAAATGTTATACTTTCATGAAATCTTGTGCTGCTAGGTGAGGCATATTTTGTTTAAATATCCATAGATTTGTTATTTTTTAATTTTTGGTGTCAGGTTGCCCTGCAGAAACTGCAGTACCAGTTTGTTATATTTAGGTCCCACCCGTTGTTCCATGAACTCAGAAATGCTTCAGCCTCATAACTTCTCTGTGAGGAATGTTGGGCTGCCAACAAGTGACTTACCCGTGGCCACCCAGTGAACTTTGT